TGCATGGATGAAAATATGAACAGTCAGCTTCCTGCTCCTGCTCTCTTGTCATGATGGACTTAACCCCCTGGAACCCCAAGCCAAAAGAAACTCTTTCCTCCTTAAGTTTCTTTGGTCATGGTGTTTTATCACAGTAACAGCAGAGTAACTAATACAGTCATGAGTCTAGTGAATCTTATGAGTAATTTCTATTTACACTGCTTTCATAATTGGAAATTATATTAATTTTTTCATTATTGTGATAAAATATCTGACTAAAACAACTTAAGGGAGGAAACATTTATATTGGCTCACAATTTCAGGGGTAAATTCCATCATGGTAGGGAAAACTTGCGACTGTAGCAACAGGACCATGAGGCTTGTTCACATGATGCTGGATAAGGACACAGAGAAAAGAGAACAACAGCCCTCCTCTGACCTTTCCCCCTTTTCTACTCTTTTATTCACTCTGGATTCCCAGACCATGGGATAATGCCGCCCATGATCAGGGTGGGTCTTTCCTCTTTAGTCATTCTTCTTTGGAAATACTCTCACAGGCAGGCTGAGAAGTGTGTCTCCTTGCAAGTGATTAAAAATGAGTCAGGTTAAAAGCCGGGCATGGTGACGCACACCTTTGATCTCAGCACTTGGGAGGAAGAGACAGGTGGATCTCTGTGAGTTTGAGGCCAGGCTGGTCTACATGGTCCAGCTGGGGCTACAGGGAGACCCTGTCTCAAAAAGACCTAATTAATTAATTAATTAATTAATAGTCATGTTGACAATGAAGATATACCTTCACAGAAATGTAATTTAACGATACCCCTTTAATTTGTTCCTTCTGCTCAGTTTATGTCATTAGTGGCTCTGAAAGATTTGGGAGAGGATCTATGTAGTCTATTCCTCCATTTAGAACCAGTAGGCATCTTCATTGGATACTGTAACCACTCAGCACGTTTCACATGCAAATGTATAAATACAGGTTGAGCATCCCTAATCCAGAATCCCAAACTTTCTGAGCACTAACCAAGACTCAAAAAGTTTCAGATTCTGGAGTATTTCCCAATTCAGATTTTTAGATTAGGAATTATCAATCTGTAAAGTCTATCTGCCTATTCCAAAATTCCAAAAAGGTACATTCCAGGACAGGAATACTCAACCTGTCTGTCTTTCTCACACAATTATACAATTGTGTGAGATAATTGCAGATATAAAGTGGATACTATATAACAATCTTCTATGCCATGACACAAGGTTGCAATTTCAGGCCAGTATATCCCATTTACTTTAAGCTAGAGCCACTGCTTTTTGCAGTAATAGGAATGTTAAGCCATTGTAAGGTCTTTGTTCACATAAGATCATGAGGAATGGGAGAAAGGAAGTGTTTGGGGTCCAAAAACCTGGATTCAGTCCCAAGAGCTATAATATTAAGAAAATGATTTTATTGCTTATAAATGTAGTACTTTTCTCACTGGTATAATATATAAAAATGCTCTTGGAAAGCTTGAGAGTTTGACGACAAATAGTAGGCATTCAAAAATAAGTGTTAATTGAACATCTTTTATTTATTCTTCCATAATTTCATACATGTAAATAATGTCTCTTGATCATATGTACTACAAGAGCTCCCAACACCTCCTTCCACTCCCCCAGGAACCCCAACACATCCCCTTCCTCCTTCCTAACTTCTCTTTGTTTAAATTAATAACCCATTAGTCTGATTAGTTCTGCCTGTTGGAATGTTGAGTGACCTTGAGCAAGCAGCTGCAGTGAGTTCATGTCCTGAAGATAATATTTCATGCACTCCTATCTTCCGGCTCTTACATTCTTTCTGCCTCTTTTCTGAGATGTTCCCTAAACCTCGGCAAGGAATTGATACAGATATCCCATTTAGGGCTGAGTACTCGATAGACACTTATTCTCAGCACTCTGACCAGTTATAAGTTTCTGCATTAATTGCTGATCACTTCAGAGAGGTTAGAAAAACTTTAGCTCCCTTGACATGACTTAAAATAGCCCAGAGCAATGAAATTTCTCTCTAAGTACTATGCACTGTGATTTTCCCCTCTGAAAATACTTTTGTGTTCTATGGACCAATGAAGAAGTGAAGCCTAGTCATTCAAGAAGTCTATCTAGTGGACATAGCTCAGCGGTAAAGCACGAGCTTAGCATGCAAACCTGGCCTTCTCTTGAATTCATTACTCATTTTTCAAATGAACCCAGAGATGGAGTCAAGCCTAGGACTTGACTTTGTGGATGAACTATGCACTTGAGCTATCCGGCCTATAGTGTCTACCCTCAAAATCTCCAAATAGTGCCCATTCTGGGAAAGTTGTCCCTAGTTACCCTAGCCCTTAATGATGATGCACCCCTGAAATCCTTAGGGTGCAAGAAATTCTTAGGCACCTAAGCTCCTACCATATGCCAAGCCCCCTTAGGAGCTAGGAATATAGGGCTAAAAACATAAGTACCTTCCTAATAGAAGTCTCAAGCTTACTAGTATTTAGTCCTGTCCTGTGTGAGACTGTTATCCAGTGAGCTACTAAAGCCTATGACCATAGCTAGGCTTCTAAGTCACCTGCTGAGCCTCACAACTGAGCACTAAGTGGATTGTTTTAACAGAGACTTTCTATGGAGATAATACTCAGTTAAATATTTGAATGTTAAATGGACTTGGCACTTATCTGATTAGCATATGTCCAGCATCAACATGGTAAGTACAAACGCAACACCGGTTAGGAACCTCATTTATAGAGTATTCCTGGAGGGGGGCGGTTTGTAAACAAACTGATTGTTTGTTCCCATCCAGTCTGTGTGTGTCTGTGTTAAATAAAACTTATAGGAGCTAGAAAGATAGCTCAACTGGTAAAGTATTTTCCAGGCAAACATGAGGACTTGAGTTGGATCCCCAGAACCCATGTTAAAAAGCCAGGTGTGTAGGTGTGCGATTTTAATCCCAGTATGTTTTATTATTGCACCACCATCAAAATCACCTGAACAAATAGATGACTCAAATTAAGTTTTTAAGAGTGGGTCCGGATTCTCAGAGGACACATTTCCCCCAGCTATTAGAACCCTCTGTCTCCCAGAACTGTGCCAATGGATCTCTCTTGCCCCCTCAACCCGTGCAGATGGAGCTGTCTGTATCCTCACCTTGTGCCTATGGAATTTTCTCTGCAATCCTGTTTCTCCCTTTGTGTCCTTGGTTAGGCAACAGCCATAATTCATTCAAAATGATTTCTCCAGCTTCAATGGGGAAGTACAAGTTTAGCTCCACCCTTAATCTCCACAGACCATGTGGTCTTTTCATCCCTAGCTCACATTCATCCACGGTCAAGTGTCCTTCCCAACCTCCACTGCTTCCGACGCTCGCAGCACTTTGCTATGTTAACTCTTAAGCATACCCCACATTCATTCACTATCTTTTGGGGTGGAGTACCAAACTGAGGTTGCCAAGGAGACACCCTGATCATCAGATCCAAAAGTGCATGGTTTTGTTGGGGTTAATTAAAAGTCGTTAGTCCATATTATATCCATTTAAAGTCATTCCTAGATCCCAGCACTGGGGAGACAGACAGGAGGATCACTGAGCCTTGCTGGACAGACAGCCTTGCCTCCTTTATGAGCTTCCAGTCAGTGAGAGAACCTGTGTCAAAAACAATAGATGGGTGCAATAGTCATGTCATGTTCAGAGACAGCATTCATTCTTCCCCATCCCCCAGCTCTTATATTCATTCCGCTTTGTTTTGCACAGGGTTCTTTCAGCCTTAGTGGTGGAGGCTTAATACAGATGCCAGTTTAGGGCTGAGCACTCAATCTAATGTTCTGAGCACTTTGATCAGTGATGCTATTGGCAGTGATGGTTGTGGGGTGGGGAGGGGGAGGATCATTCTTTATTGAGCGTATGGCCACTGGGAGGTTTCCCATGTTCCAGTGGATGGCCTCACACCCATGCTCATGACTAGGCTCAGTGGGCTATCTGAAAAAAAGACATAAAGTTGGGAGGAGAGCATGTTGGGAGAATATAGGGGTGTTGGAGGGGGAATGGGAGTAGATATGATTATATTTCATTATATACATATATAAAACTTTCAAAAAGGGAAAAGGGGTCTGGGGAGATGGCTCAGCAGTTAGTAGCAGTCTGTTGTTGCAGAGAACCTGGATTTGATTCCCAGCACCCACATGGCAACTAACGACTGTCCAGTTCCAGGGAATCCAATACCTTCTTCTCACCTCTGCAGGCACTGCACGACATGAGTGCGCTTATGTACATACAGGCAAAACACTCATACACATAAAATAAAAATAAATAACTAAATAAAATAAATTGAAAAATAAACAAAAACATTTAATTCAATAAAGTTAAATTACCCAATAAGAAAAAAACTATGGGGCTGGAGAGATGGCTCAATGGTTAAGAGCACTGACTGTTCTTGCAGAGGACACAGGTTCAATTCCCAGCACCCACGTGGTTGCTAGCAACCATCTGTAGCTCCAGTTCCAAGGGAATCCAATGTCTTCTTCTGACCTCTGTGGGCACTGCACAACACAGGTGCACTTACACACATGAAGGCAATATACTCATCATACACATGAAATAAAAAAATAATAAATATGGGGCTGGAGAGATGGTTCAGCTGTTAAGAGCACTGACTGCTCTTGCAGAGGACCTGGGTTCGATTCCCAGCACCCACATGGTGACTATGAACCATCCTTAACTCCAGTTCCAGGGGAATCCGAAGCCCTCTTCTGACCTCCACAGCATTGCACAACACGGGTGCATGCACATACATGCAGGCAATATATTCATACACCTAAAATAAAAATAATAAATAAAATAAAGAAAAATAAATAAAATACTAAAAAAAGAAGAAACGGTGCATGTGACACTTAAGGTTGAACTCTGGCCTCCACACACACACATGCACTAAGTGCACACACATAAACACGTGTGCACAGAAAAAAACACAGGAGTTGATTCATGAGCTTCCACCCTTTTCCTCTCTTTGTCTCTGTTTCCACAGGTCAGCGTCGAAGTTTTGGTAGAGTATCCTTTTTTTGTGTTTGGACAGGGCTGGTCATCCTGCTGTCCAGAGCGGACCAGCCAGCTCTTTGATCTGCCCTGTTCCAAGCTCTCCGTTGGGGACGTCTGCATCTCGCTCACCCTCAAGAACCTGAAGAACGGTTCTGTTAAAAAGGGCCAGCCGGTGGACCCCACCAGCGTCCTGCTGAAACACGCAAAGACGGACAGCCTGGCGGGCAGCAGACACAGGTATGCCGAGCAGGAAAATGGCATCAATCAGGGAGGCACCCAGGTGCTCTCTGAGAATGGCGAATTGAAGTTTCCAGAAAAAATAGGATTGCCTGCAGCATCCTTCCTCACCAAAATAGAACCAAGCAAGCCCACAAGCACGAGGAAGAGGAGGTGGTCGGCGCCAGAGACCCGCAAGCTGGAGAAGTCGGAGGACGAGCCACCTTTGACTCTTCCCAAGCCTTCTCTCATTCCTCAGGAGGTTAAAATCTGCATCGAAGGCCGGTCCAACGTGGGCAAGTAGAGACCGTGCGGGCAGCGAGGCGTGGGCCTCCTTTGCCGTCTGTATCCAGATTACTGTACTGTAGGCTAAATAACACAGTATTTACATGTTATCCTCTTACTTTAGGTTTCTGTTCTAACCTTGTCATTAGAGTCGCACAGGTGTGTCGCAGGATACTGGTGCATATGCAATGTCTGTGAGTGTCTGCCAGGGAGCAGGTGGGTGGAGGGTGGTCAGAGCCTTGGCCATGGAGCTCCGGAATCCTAGGTGGCCGTGAATGTGTCTACACCAGCACCTGCCTACTCCAGCACAGACAACCAGAGGGCGTCAGTTCCCACTAGTTTCAAGAGCAAGTTTAGTGGGAAGGGACCCCACAGGGTTGTCAGGGTACATCCCTGTCGGGGTGCATGGGTGCCACGGTGTCGAGTGAGGGTCTCTTTTTCTCTGCCTCTGTCTGCCTCGCTCTCTCAGCGTGGGATTTGAGGTCCTGGGTTTCCCACATGCAACAGCAGGGAACCAGCTTCAGGGCATCCTTAGGGAGGTAGCAGAGAGCAGATGGAAAGCTAAGTTTCAAAGAACATGGTTCTCTCCAACATATTTTACAACAAAAAGCAACTTTTAATCATAGCTATATATATACATATATATATTTCCCCCTATGGGGCCTGACTGCACTGAGATTTTTGTTTTAAAAGAGCAACTGCCACATGTGGGATTTCGTTCCAGCTTTGCTAGTCCATTGAGGTTGCTAGGTGTCATGGTAGACAGGGAAGTCTCTGCTCAGGTGACTCCTGGTCAGGTAGGTGGCAGTGGGGGTGGGGGACAGAAGGAACATCTGCACTAGTTTCTGTGCAGTGTTAGGGAAAAAAAAATCAATCAGGTTATTTGCATTGACTTTGCTCCCAAGAGGAAAATGCAAGCTCCCCTTCTGTGACAGCGGCGGAAGCTCTCTGAGCTGGGCTTGCAACAACTTTTTGTCTTAGCTCTAGTACTGTTTCTAGTTCATGACTATGGACAACTCGGGTGCCACTTTTTTTGTTGTTGTTCCAAGTGTGATATGAGGAATTAGATCTTGAAGATGCTCATCTATTACTGTCTCTAAGCATTTACAATGCTGTTCAGACTTTATTACCAAGCATCTTGGTCTGACATTCAAGGAGTACTGTATCTCACTTCAAACTCTTTGGGAAGAAAAAGAAAAAGAAACTAAGTTGCTTTCATTTTCTTTTTTAAACACTGTAATTACAGTTCAGAGTTGCTGGAGAGCCAGCTATTGGAGGTTTCAATGTGGTTTAAAAGGATGAATGTGAATTATAAACTAGTACGTGACAACAGATGACCACCGAGCACTACCTGACGGCGGGCACTTTGTCACTTTGATGTTGGAGAAAAGAGTTAAAGACATAAGCAGAACTGGTAGAGAAATTGAGAAAAGGCATGGAGGAAAAGACACTCATTTTTGTCCAGTGTTTTTAAGATGAACTTTTAAAGAACCTTGCAATTTGCACATCTTGAGTTTATAATTTGTGTGATATTCCTGCAGTTTTTATCCAATAACATTGTGGGAAAGGTTTGGGGGGATTGAACGAGCATAAATAAATGTAGCAAAATTACTTTCTAACCTGCCTACACCCTAGGCCATTCTTAGAAGGTTCTGTTCCTTTCAAAATTCATTTTGCTCTTTCTGCCACACATGTCATGAAAAGCCAGGTCTTAGTAGGACAACTTTGAGAATTTTCTTCAGATTCATTGAGAGTTTTCCATAAAGACAGTTTATATATGTGAGCAAGTGTTTTGTTTTTGAAAACACAATTATTGTTGCTATTAATATTATTTTCAGAATGACCTTTTTTTTTTCTATTTGAAATCAAATCAAGATTTAATGTTTGGTACAAACCCCAAAAGGGTGTTTCATAAAGAAACCCTCTTCAAAGCAACCCACGTGTGGGCTATCTAGCTAGTATTCAGTCAGTTAGCTCTCACCAGGACTGACTACTGATTTTTACAGACCATTTTCTGGGTGTACCAAATACCTTTGAATAGGTTCAGAGTAGC